GGCGCCGATGCCCCTAGCAGGCGCCTGAGCCCACAGCAGGCGCCTAAGCCCCCAGCAGACTCCGAGGCCCCTAGCAGACGCGCAAGCCCCTAGCTGACGCCAGAGCCCCATGGCAGACTCGGGGATTCATCGCAGACTCCTACGCCCCTAGCAGACGCCGTGCCTCTAAGAGTCGCATACGGCCTTCGCAAACCCAGTTGCCCCTAGCAGGCGCCAAACCCCCTGGGCGCGCGCGTAGGCCCCCTGGCAGACCCTTAGGCACCTGGCAGGTGCCCGAGCCCCATCCGAACTCCTAGGGCCCGAGCAGGCGCCGTAGCCTTTTGCAGACACCCATGCCCCAGCTGGTGCCCAGGCCCCTGCCGAGCCCCAAAACCCCTAGCAGGCGCCTGGGCCCCTAGCACACTCGAGCAGACGCCTGTGCCCCTTGCGTGCGCCTGGGCCCTTATCATGCGCTTAGGCCCCAAACAGATTCCTAGGCCCCCAGCAGGCGTCTGGGCCCTTAGCAGACGCCTGGCACTTAGCAAGCTCGTGGGCACCTAGCATGCGCCTACCCCCCCTAGCAAACGCCTAGGCACCTAGCAGACCCCCCAGGCCCCACGCAAACGCCTAGGCCCCGAGCAGACCCTAGACCCCTCGCAAACGCCAGCTGCCCTCGCAAACTCATAAGCCCTTGGCAGACGCCCAGGCACCCAGCATACCCCTAGGCCCCCAGCAGACGCCCACGCCCCGAGCAGACCCCGAGCCCCCTAGCAAACGCCTGGAGCCCTACCAGACTCGTAGGCCCCTATCAGACCCCTGGGCACCTAGCAGACGCCGACGGCCCTAGCATACGCCTCGGCCCCTAGCAGACGCCCCTGCGATCGGACTACTTTGCACCTAGCAGTCCCCCCCGCACCTGGCAGACGCCCAGGCCCCTGGCACATCCCGAGGCGTCGGGCAAACGCCTTGGCCCCTAGCAGATTCCCAAGGCCCTAGCAGGCGCTTAGGGCGCCATGCAGACTGCGGCGCCCCTGGCAGACGCCTTCTCCCATAGCAGACCCAGAATCCCTTGGCAGACGCCCAGGCTCCTAGCGGACTCCCAGTTCCTTAGCAGACGCCTACACCCCCCTAGCAAACTCAGAAGCCCCTACCGAAAGCCGAGGCCCCTCGCAGACGCCTAAGCCCCGACCACACTCCTGCGCCCCGGCCAATCCCCGCGGCCCCTGCCAGACCCCTGCGCCCCCATCTGGCGCAGGAGGACTCATAGGCCCCTAGCAGACTCCTAGGCCCATGCCAGGAGGGCGTTGACAGGGGCCCCATTGCCGACTCCGACCAGGAGATAACCGCACCCCGACCACATCCCTTCCAAATACACGCGGAGGAAGAGGAGGCGGGGGAGGAGGAGGAGGAGGAGGGAGAGGGGGAGGGGAGGGGGCAGGGGGGAAGGGTGGAGGGGGGACGGGGAGGGGGCCGAGTCCCAGCCCAGATGGGGTTTGGATGGCGCGGGATGCGCGCACCCCCCCCGAATCCCGATGGCCCCCAGGTGGTGCGGGATGCGCCCCCCGCCGAATCCAGATGGTCGTCGGGTGGTGCGGGATGCGCCCCCACCCGAATCCAGATGGTCGTCGGACGGTGCGGGATTCGGCCCCTCCATTTTGGCGATGGTGTTTGGATGGTCGCGAATCGCGCCGTGGACCATCAAAAGACCATCGGAAATCGTGGCCTCAAGAACCCGAAAATGCGGAAAAAAAACGCGCATCGGAGGGCAAAAACCCTGTGTTTAATTGTATTTTGATGGTGCGGGATGCCATCCTGCGACCCCGAAACCCGATGGTGTTTTGATGGTCTCCAGCGTGTTCCCCCCCCCCCCCCAGCAAATCCACATGGTATCTGGATGGTGCGGGATGCGGCCTGCCTCGAATCCCGATGGTCTCTGGGTGGTGCGGGATGCGACCCGCCCCGAATCCGGATGGTCGCCAGGCGGTTCGGGGTGCGCCCCCCTCCCGAAACCTAGACGGTCGCCAGGTGGCTCGGGGCGCGCCAAGGGCTGGGCCGCGACCCCCACCCCCAGGCCCCGCCCAGGACCCCCCCCCTGACGGAGCCACACCAGGGCCCCGCATGGCCCCGAGGAAAGCCTTGGCAGGCGGCGAGGCCATGGCGGAGCCCAGCCAACGCCCCACCGAGAAGCCCGCCTGCCGAGGCCAGCCCAGGCACCCCGCAAGCCGAGCGACAACCTTACCCAACCCCACACGATGTCTTGGCGTGGCCACGCGAAAGCACTGCTGAACCCGCGGCAGGACCCACGAACGGACCGCGCAGCGACCGTGCTAGAGTCCTACCAGGGGCCAGCAAGAACGCACCAGTGCTTTGCCGAGACTTCGCCAGTGGCCCCAGCGGGGATGCACCTGTGCAGAACGGCTGCATCAGCAGGTCCTCCCCTGGTGGGGCCCTACCAGTGCCCTACCACGATCCTGATAGTTCACTGGCAGGGCCCGACCAGGGATTGCACAATGAAGCAAAACCAAGCAAAGCTGTGAAGATTCCCAAAAACCGTTCTCCGTTGTCAATCGCGCGCCAGCAACAGCCCCCGCGAGAAACATTGCAGGCTGCAACTCTACAGCCCCCCTCCCTGCCCCCACTGCTGCTCCCATACATACCAGCCCTCACTATTCCCCCCCCTCGCTACAGCAAAAGAGAAAGAAACAACACGGTGCCTTGTAGTACATCGCCGACGCGCGCAGGCTGGCAGTAGACGGCATTCGCGCCCCCTGCCAGGAGGAGCTGCTGCATCACCCCCCCGGCGCCCCTTGCAGGCGAAACTTGAAAGGGAAGATGCAAAAGACGAACATGACGAGGACGATGAAAAACTAAGATGATGAAGAAGAGGGAACATACGCAGACGCTTGCAAATAGGAAATGATGAACCATACGACGTCTGAAACCTAAAACAAGGAGGGCGAAACTGGAGGATGGGGGAGAGGGGGACGCGGAAGGAGGATATGAGAGGAATAAGTGGGATGGAACAGGGAGAACGGGAATGACGAATAAGAACATGACGCAGAAAACAAGGAGAGCGAGAAGGGATGAGGGATAATAAAAACGATGGTGATGATGAAGGTTTGTTGCAGGATACAACGTAATATTTGGCGAATACAACTTCTACATGCGAATGGTGAAATAGCAACACGTAGCATGATGACAACGACGACAACGTCTGTTGTTGGTATTGGCCACGGCCATCACAACGATGATGGCCACTGCGACGGTGACGACCACGACGGCCACAAGGACGACGTCGGCCCCCAAGACGGCAACCCCCAGACGACCCCCAAGACGGCACCTCCAAGACGACACACCCAAAACACCCTCCAAGGCACTCCCCAAGACGGCCCCCAAGATGCGCCACCAAGACGACCCCCAAGACAATAACCCCAAGACGGCACCCCCAAGACGGCCACCAAGAGGCCTCTCAAGACGGCCCAAGACGACCCCACTAAGACGACCCCCGAGACGGCTCCACCAAGGCGGCACCACCAAGACGACGCCACCAAGACGCCCAGACAACCTCGGACCAGCGCCGAATGCTCTTGGGTGACGAGGCGTGATCCGCGGGCTTCCTCCAGCCACTCCCCGCTGATAGGGTATGATAGGGCATCGCGTATGTTATGGTACGAGTGCTATGATATGTTATGGTATGGTATGCTGGCGGGGGGGCATGGTGGCTTTGATATAGTATGTTATGATTGATATGATAAATTCGATCATGTTAGGATATGCTGTGTTATTTAATCTTAGTGCGTGAAATCTATGCAGCGTTATGGTATGCTATGTGCGTTCGCATATCTCTTCTGGTATGGTATGCTATGATATGCCAAGTTATGGCATGATATGTTACGTTATGTCGTTTTGGTGTCATCGCGGGTTCTCTTCGGGGTCCTCTTGGGTGCCCCGCGCGGACAGAAATGACGCCAGCTTCATGGCGTCGGAAGTGACGTAAAAGCGGAGAACCTATCTGTGTGCGAAACGAGGCACGCTTTGTGCAACTATCAACGTGGCGGAACTATTCAATGCGTGCCTCGCACGTAGCTTGGACGAAAAAGGCGCCTTCCCTTCGGGCGCGAGCATCGAGACCAACTGCAGCGAACGCAATCGACTGCCGAGTCGGATTCAACCATGGCTCCTGCAATCACCGAACACAGCCGTGGCAACAATGGCTTTGCGGTGCTCTCTGGAGTACCCCTGCAGGAGCGACTGCAAATGCAACGCCTAAGCAGCAACGCTCAAAAACACGTGGCCCGTGTCAGTTACCCCCCAGCCCCCAGTCCGCAGCACGGATGCAAGGGTCGCGCGCTCTCAGGTCGAGCTCCAACGTGCGGTAGATCCAAGACAGCGTCAGTGCCACCGCCGCCGCACACGAATACCAATAAAACAACGCACGTGCGGGAACATACGTCAAGGAAGCAATGCCCTCAGACCCCCAGAAAGCTGAATGTTGACTGACATCCACAAGCACGCATCTTTTGATCGCTTTCCACAACCATGCCTCGAACATTCGAGGCTGTAACTGCGCACTGTCCACAATCAGAATGCAGCTGGGTCAGTTTCTGGTTCAGAACCTTCGTCCACACGTTGAGGCCGCTCCCGTCGCTCAAGCTCGCTCCAGTCAGCTCCATATCGCGCGCGGCCCGCCACGCGAGCCACGCGTCGTGCCTGAACAGGTGGACGGAATGCCATGTGCTCCTCCTTTGAACCCTGCGAGCAATTCGAAAGCCAAGCGTAAGCGAAACCCAGCGGCCTGCCCATAGCAGGGTACACGTGTGGATTTGTCGATGCTGACATCCTTAGCGTCTTGATGCATTTGCCGTGAGCAGGATCTGGGCACAGGCATTCAATGATGGACTCGGCGTCGGGGCGACGGTAGTACCTCATTTTGCCGCCACCTCGGACAACCAGCTGACGCCGTAGATCTGACCCAGCATCTGCAGGATGAGGAGGTGGCGGTGGAGGCGGCGGAGGTACACCGCCGTCGGAGTCGGAGCCGTTCTCGCTGACGACCTGGGACGGGGAGGCGAGACGGCCGCCGAGCGAAACCGAGCATCCTCCCTCCCTCCCCCCTCCTCCTCCTCCTTCTCCACCTTCTCCTCCTCCTCCTCCTCCTCCTCTTCCACTCCCACGTCCTCCCCCATTATGCTTGGACCCTCCAAGGGACCTCGCCCTCGAATTCTGCTACAGACAAGTGCCCCTCGGACTCGTCGTCGGGGTCGTCGCCGCCGCCGCGGCCCCCAATATGCTGCGGTGGCCACAATCGAAACCACGTCTGGCGGCCATCCTGCAGCACGATGTCAGCATCAACGCGACTGGGGTCGAACAGTCCTATGCGACGCCTGCCCTGCCGCAGTGAAAATAAAACGCCGATGACCACGCCATCATCTGCAGCCAAATCGACTTCGTCGCACATGCGGTACAGAGACTGCCATTGCAGTGCTGCCTGATCACTGGGAAACAAAGGACACCGATAATATGGGCGGTGAGCTGCTAACAGTGCCAACGCTGTTGCGGGCGTGTCCAATACAGTGGCCAACAAAAAACTCTGGCGTCCCCCATGCATTCTCGTTCACCCCTCACACGTTTCGTTGCCCCATAAGGGGGTATGCCTAAGGCCCCATCGCGAGACGTCGCACGTTGTGTCCACTCCACACCACTCAAGTACAACACTCACACGTGGTGGCCCGCAGAATCAAATTGGAACGACACTGTTCGCATGCCCCCCCCCCAGCACATTGCAACGCCCATCACATGTTTCGTGGCCCTATGAGGAGCCCCGCTGCAAACCGTTATGGGAATACGGAACCCCTCGCACTCCCCCCCCCCGCGCACTATGGCATGCCCCTCGCACGCTTCGAGACTTGAGAGGTGCGCCACCTTGACAACCCAGAGGACAGCGCCGACTTGACAACCCAGACAAGGGGCGCCTATCTCATTTTACAAAGGGGAGGAGGGCCCACTGTTAAGACGGGTAATATTACAATATGGATTCCGCCAACCAATCTTCCAATAATCTAATATGCGCGCATGAATTTCTGGCTGGGAAGTTTTTCCCAAACAACAAGTGTTCCCAACCAACCTGTGTTGTTGGGTCCTCGTTTTGAACAGACGGCGCCCGCGTCCTCGTTCCTCCTTCCGCTGCCCCCCCACCCCTCCCCCCCATCATCAGCATCATCGCCACCATCATCACGATCGCCCATCATCCATCAGCATCATCACCTGCAGCATCATCGTCACCCACATAATCCTTATCATCATCGGCATCATCAGCATCGCCCCCACCACCCATGTCGTCACACCCCTCACACGCTTCGTTGCCCCATAGTGAGCCCCACCTAAGGCCCAAATGGCGCAACTCGCATGGCGCCACCGCCGCATTTTGGCACACCCCTCACACGTTTCGTGGCCTTATAGGGAGCCCCACCTAAGGTCGCAGTGGCGCAGCTCGCATGGCGCCACCGCCGCAATTTGGCACACCCGTCACACGTTCAGTGGCCTTATAGGAAGCTCCACCTAAGGTCTAAGTGGCGCAGCTCGCATGGCGCCACCGCCACATTGTGGCACACCCCTCACACGTTTCGTGGCATCAGGGGGAGCCCCACCTAAGGTCCAAGTGGCGCAGCTCGCATGGCGCCATCGCCCCATGATAGCACACCCCTCACATGCTTCGTGGCCGCATGTGGGGCTCCCCCCAGGCCCAAGTGGCACAGCTTGCATGGCGCCACCGCAGCATTTTGGCATACCCCTCACACGCTTCGTGGCCAGATGGGGGGCCCCACCTCAGGTCCAAGTGAGGCAGCTCGCATGGCGCCACCGCGCAATTTTGGCACACCCCTTACACGTGTCGTGGCCCCATGGGGAGCCCCACCTGAGGTCGCAGTGGCCTAGCTCGCATGGCGCCACCGCCACATTGTTGCATACCCCTCACACGTTCCGTGGCCCCACAGGGAGCCCCACTTGAGGTCCAAGTGGCGCAGCTCGCATGGCGACACCGCCCAATGATGCCACACCCCTCACACGCTTCGTGGCCCCATGGGGAGCTCCATCCAGGTCCAAGTGGCGCAACTCGCACGACACCACCGCCGAATTTGGGCACACCCCTCACACGTTTCGTGGCCCCATAAGGAGCTCCACCTGAGGTCCAAGTGGCGCAGCCCGCATGGCGCCACTGCCCCATTTTGGCACACCCCTCACGCTGTTCGCGGCCCCGCTCCACCGACGGCCTCAGTGGCACAGTTCACGTGGACTCTCCCCCCGCCGTTTTGGCACACCACGTACACGGTTCGTGGCCCCGTAGGGAGCTCCACCGAAGGCCTCAGCGGCACAGTTCGCATGCCCCCCCCCCCCGCAATTTCGGCACACACCCCACACAGTTCGTGGCCACATCGGGAGCTCCACCGATTGCTTCAGCGGCACACCGCACATGCTCCCATTCGCAATTTCGGCACACCCTCAGGCGGTTCGTGGCCTCATCGGGAGCTCCACCGAAAGCCCCAATGGCCATGTCCGCATGCTCCCCCTCGCCCACAACATGCCCATCCGGGGTTCCCTCACACGGTTCGTGGCCCCATGGTGAGCTCCACCGAAGGCCCGAGTGACCACGTCCTCATGCCCCCTCCCCGCTCATTACATGCCCATTTCGGTACACCCCTTACACGGTTCGTGGCCCGATAAGGAGCTCCAGTGAAAGCAGTACCCACCATGCAGTCTTCGCAGTTGCAGATGGTTCGGTCCTTCGTTAGGCTAATTGGGTCATCGCTTTGAACAGACAGCGCTAGCTTCCTCCTTCCTCTTCCCGCTGACCCCCCCCTCTCCCCGTCATCAGCATCATCGTCACCGTCGCCACCAGCACCCATCATCCATCAGTATCACCACCAGCAGCATCATCGTCGTCCACATCCCCTTCATCAGCATCGTAATCATCATCATCGCCCCCCGCCCCCCTCCCCCCCCACACACACCACCATCCATGCCGTCACACCCCTCACACGTTTCGTGGCCCTATAGTGAGCCCCACCTAAAGTCCAAGTGGCGCAGCCCGCATGGCACCACCGCCCCATATTGGCAAACCTCTCACACGCTTCAGGGTCTTATAAGAAGCTCCACCTAATGTCGCAGTGGCGCAGTCCACATGGCACCACCGCCCAATTTTGGCGAACCCTTCATACGTTTCGTGGCCCCACATGGAGAGCTGTCTAAGTTCCAAGTGGCGCATATTGCATGGCGCCACCGCCCCGTTTTTTCACACCCCTCACACGCTTCGTGGCAACATAGGGAGCTCCACCTCCTAAGGTCCATGCGGCGCTGCTCGCATGGCGCTACCGCCGCATGTTGGTACACCGCTCACACGCTTCGTGGCCTCATAGGAAGCTCCATCCAGGTCCAAGTGGCGCAACTCGCATGGCGCCACCGCCGAATGTTGGCACACCCCTCACACGTTTCGTGGCCCCATAAGGAGCTCCACCGAAGGTCCACTCGGCGCAGCCCGCATGGCGCCACCGCACAATTTTGGCACACTCCTCACACGCCCCGTAGCCCCATAGGGGGCTCCGTTTGGCTACAAGTTGCGCAGCCCGCGTGGCGCAACCGCCCCATGTTGGCACACCCCTCATACGTTTCCTGGCCCCAGAGGGAGCTGCACCTAAAGCCGCAGTGGCGCAGCTCGCATGGCGCCACCGCGCAATCTCAGCGCACCCATCACATGTTTCGTGGCCCCACAGGGTGCCCCGTCTAAGGTCCAAGCGGCGCAGCTCGCATGGCGCCACAACATTTTTGGCCCACTACTGACACGTGTCGTTGCCTTATAGCGAGCCCCACCTAAGGTCGCAGTTGCGGAGCTCGCATGGCGCAACCGCCACATGTCGGCAGACCCCTCACACGGTTCGCGGCCTCATTGGGAGCCCCACCGAACGCATCAATGGCACAGTTCGCGGGCACCCCTCCGCAAGTTCGGGACACCCCTCACACGTTTCGCGGCCCCATATGGAGTTCCACAGAAGGCTTCGGTGGCATGGTTCACATGCCCCCCCCCCGCCCCGCCATTTCGGCACACCTTTCACACGGTTCGTGGCCCCATAGTGAGCCCCACCGAAGGCTTCAATTGCACAATTCACATGCTCCCCTTCCGCAAATTCGGCGCACCCCTCACACGGTCCGTGACCCCACTTGGAGCTCCACCGAATGCCCCAGTGGCCGCGTCAATATACCCCCACCCCCCCTCACCCCGCCCACATCATGCCCATTTCGGCTCACCCCCTCACACGCTTCGTAGCCCCATGGGGAGCTCCACCGACGGCCCCAATGGCCACGTCCACATACCCCCCCCCCGCACACAGCATGCCCATTTGGGCGCACACATCACGCGGTTCGTGACCCCAGGGTGATCTCCATTGAAAGCGGCACCCACCATGCGGTATTCGCAGTTGCAGATGGTTCGGTCCTTCGCCAAGATGATGTCCATTACCGTCTTGTTTTGAAGAGGCAGTGCCCCGCTTCCTCGCTCCTCCTCCTCCCGCTGCCCCCTCACCCCTCCTGCTCTCCTCTGCTCCCCGCGCGCGTTCCGTGGCCACGGGGGGCTCCGCCGACAACCCAAGTGGCCGCGACCGCATGTGCGACCGCGCCCATTGTGCCACACCCCTCACACGTTTCGCGGGCACATATGGCTTCACGGGAGGCCCCAGTGGCCGCGACCGCAGGTGTGACCGCGCACAGTTGGCACATTCCTCGGGCGCTTCGTGGCTCCATGAGGAACCCCGCCGAAAGCCACAGTGGCCGCGCGCATTTTGGCACACCCATCACACGCGTCGTGGTCACATAGAAGCTCCACCGAAGGCCCCAGCTGCAGCGACCGCATGTGTGACCGCGCACAGGTTGGCACACCCATCACACGTTGCGTCGTCACATATGGAGCTCCACCGGGGGCCCTAATGCCCGCGACCGCATGTGTGACCGTACCTATTTGGGCATACCCCTCGCACGTTCCGTGCCCCCATAGGAATCTCCACCGAAGGCAATAGTGGCTGCAACAGCATGTGTGGCCGCGCCCAGTTTGGGGCACCCCCCACACGCTTCGTGGCCCCAAATGGAGCCCCACCGAAGGCCCTAGTGGCCGCGACCGCATGTGTGACCGCCCCAATTTTGGCACATCCATCACACGTTTCGCGGCCCCATGGCGAACTCCACCGAGTGCACTAGTGGCCGTGACCGCAAATGTACCAGCGCCCATTTTGGCACATCCCTCGCACGGTACGTGGCCTCATGGCAAGCCACAACGAACGTTTTAGTGTCCGCGACCGCATGTGTGGCCGCGCCCATTTCGGCTCACCCTTTACACGCTTCGTGGCCGCATACGGGGGCTCCACCGAAAGCCCTAGTGGCCGTGACTACATGTGTGACCGCGCCAACCTTGGCACA